AAAAGCACAAGAAGGTATGTTATTGCCCAGGTGTTGGACCAGAGTGGTGTGGTCAGTGCTCAGTGTGGTGTGGTCAGCTGCGTTCGTTGATCGGTGTTGGAGCAGGCTGGACTGTAGCTTTGTCAGGTTATAAATTTGACAGCTTCGTGACCAACAGTCAAGCACTGTGCTTGAGTATTAATTAAAAATGTTCCGAACAAGATCCCCTTTCCTGAGTGGCTAATGGGCTCCGGTGTGGAATAGCAGTGTAGCCGGTGCTTTTCTTCTGTCTGACAGGCTGGAGCTGTTTCTCGGTACACTGGCCTCGGGTCCGTGTGCTGTGGACCTGCTGAGAGTACGTTCTTCCCATTGAAGCAGCTTGTTGTACCAGCCAGCCGGTCAGGTCACCCAGGTCAGATTGAGCGAAGGAAGAACAGGACTGGCGTGCAGATTGTTTTCTTATGTAATGTTCATTTTTCACTCCTCTGTGTTGCTGGGCGTTTTGTGTTAAAACATTGCTTGGGTCGTACAGCGGTGCCGTTCAGCATGAACAGACTGGTTCGCTCTGTCCCAGACGATCCTGAATATGTAGTTTAGTGTTGATGCGTGTAAGTTATAAATACAAATATGAAGAAAAACTTTGGAACCTGCACCAAGGGAGCATGTTAGGAGATTGAAGGTGTTACAAGACCAGAGCCCATATTGCAACAAACTGTCCACCAATCTGCTGATCACAATAACAGAACCCGTGGTGCTTCACTGCATTTTATTTGTGTGTCAGAGACTTTCTTCTTCCACTAATCGTATCCCATCACTGGGTTCTGGGGTTGTAGCTTGCGTCTGGCATTTTGATGTAACCCAGCGTGGGAAGTCCTGCAGTGCTCATTCTAAAAATGCAGGCAGGAGCTCTTCAGTAGTCTGGAAATACCCCTCCTTCAGCTCCAGGCTGGCAGAATCCTCACGAGTTCCAGTTGGGCCTGAGACTGAGGCACGCAAAATCCTAATAGTTTGGATATATCATTGAGTCCCTGAAAGTATGAGGGCTTAACAGTCATCACAGCAGATGCTTTAGGCTAATAAACTCATTAAAATCTCTTAATTCCTTGGTCCCTGTGGAGTGTATACTCCACAGTATTAGCATCTGAAGCAAGCTGAATGTTAGCGTTCATTACAGTTCAGCTGTCTTCTAAGCTACAAGTGGATTCTGAGTTGAAGTGTCACACTCGTTCTTCATCCTCAGGAGCTGTTATGTGGGTACTGCACAGACACTTGTCCGGCGGTATATTTGTCACACTGACTGCTTGTTGGATTGTTGCCCATGATTAAGAGGTTGTGTCATTTTGTGCCAGTCTCGGGTCTCAGGTAATGCATTTTAAAATTGGTGCTGTGTTTACAAGGTATCTCCAGGTGGTGGTGCTGTGTGGTCTGTGATGTGGTTTTGTCTTTGAGCTAGAGGCTTATCTTCATTGGAAGAGACAGGGAATTATGTGCATAAGAATACAGAAACCCTAAAGCCTGTTTCTTTCTGTATTATACAGTATTATACATATTAGGTTACCAAATACAAATAAAATACTGCTGTTTTTGTCTGCATTTTAATAATCGTATCTTGGATGGTTGTTGCTGTTAGGAAGGATATCATGACTCAGCATTTGTGTGCTGTTTGACACTTTCCAGTGGAGTGTGACTGTATTCTCACTGTTAAACATGAAAATAATAATAATTGACCGATCGCGCTCTGTGTGGATGACAGTAGCGTCTAGCACGGCTGTCACTGGTGTCCCTTGGAGGCAGTAAGAAAGTCTGTGGACGTTGGCCTAAATGACCCTTTGCAATGCCAAACATATAACAAATAGCAGATTTTCTGGTACAAAAGATTTTTTTCAGCCTTGAGAGATTTGATTTAGGATGGGATGTGGCCTGTGTGTGGGGAGAGGGGAGAGGAGCAGCCCCCGGGGGGGGTCAAGGGTCGCCCCTGCAGCCTCTCACCCGGAGCCAGCGGAGGCCAGCGGAGGCCAGTGGAGCTTCTCGCTGTACCCATGGCAGCTGGGCGCTGGCTCGGCCGGCCGGAGCAGCACTTCTCCCAGCTGTGCAGGTGCTGCTGCTGCTTTAAACCGACCCGGAGCGAAGGCAGACCATCCTGGCTTAAAGTCATGGAGCTTGCGCTCTCGAAAAATGAGCGAGCTGCTGCAGTCTTTCTGCCCGAAGGGGGGAGGGACAACAGTTCTGCGACCATGTTTTAAGGTGTTCTGGCGTTTTTTCGCCCAGTCCCTCTCCTTACGTGGCCTCACCATGTGTCCAGACCCATTAGCGTGACGAGACGGGGCCACATGTCCCTGCACTGTCCTTCTCCTGCGTTCTAAAGCATCGGGCGAGAGGAGAGGAAGGAAAAGCAATTTGCTCAGTCCACAAACTTGTGCACCTCGGACGCCAACTATTCTGACCAGCAGCTGTTATTTAAAAAGTTGGTAACAGATGCTCTCTTATTAAAACTGAACAGTTCTCCATCCAGCAGTTGTCTTGCAAGACGTTTTTCTGTTTGTCATTTATCATCCTGGCCATGAGCTGGGAGCTGCTGCAGCCAGACCCTTTGCCCCTGCTGAGCACATGAGCACAGGACACTGCCTCCCTGCTCCCACAGCAGCAGACAGCGAGCAGGCCACTTGATTGGGTTTTCTCTTTTTACAGTATAGCCAGCTGTTGAGCTCTGTCTGTGTTATATATCTTTCATGATTCCTGCTGGATATTGCATTGTCATGCAGGCAGGACTTTAAAGAATGGTTAGACAAATACATATTTCTTTGCAGTGGGCCTGAACTGCACTGTGTGTATATCTTTACTACAGACTGACTGTATGAAACATTATGGACTAATCTCTGCTGTTATGCCTCTTTAATCCGTTTTAAAGGCCATTGTGCTTTGCTGCTTGTTACTATGTAATGGACTGACTTTTCTTCTCCACAGCTCATTAGTCTACAAATACAGATTAATATTTAAACATCAGGATTGTTAGATCTGCTTCATTTCACATGTCTCGGTCTCATCTGTGGCTGATCCAGCCGTGGTATTTAACTGAAACGGGTCACTCTTCATGCTTTCATATGCAATACATTCTTATTAGAAACTGCGCTTAGCTGCTGGGCTTGACAAGTCTCCGCCTGAGTGGGGCGGTGAGGTCTGTGCCCATCAGCGAGGCCCGTACAGGCCAGTGAACGTGCTGTTGGCCAGACTGGAATGGTTTTGACATTTACTCTTATCCCTCTCTAAGGTATTCAACCCTCGCTGCTCAGAGGAGTGAGATGTGCATCCATCTGCGATTAGGATCCCTTTTGGATAATATTTAGATCTTTAGAGTGTGGTCCAAATACACATTTTTTCATCTCTTCAAAAGATAAATTTTATCATTTTATTTTGCATTGCTTTTTAGTAAATGTGTGTGCATGTGTGTTGCGCAATTCAGTTATGCCTTGGGGTGTTAATTTTGGATGTGTGAAAGGTCTTTCTGCTCCTGGGTTATTATTTGGGCAAAAATAGGAAAAACATGGCAATACATAGATTAACTGGACAAAAAGACAGTTTCAAAAGTTAGGGATATATTTGTCATTTGAAACTGAAAGATGAAGAAAAAGAATTAACGGGAAAAAATTGACTTTTGATAAAATACCTACTTAGAAATTTTTTTAAAGTAATTTTAATAGAGAAATGAGCTACTTATATCATTTGATTAAAAAAGCATTTTCATTCCTTAATTGACTC